ATAACTGCAGGATGCCTATTCTGTTTATTTCAAAAGTTAAGCTCATGCTAAGTTGTTGCACAGCGCTCTCCTTTCCAAAATGAGAAGTTGAAAAGTATGATGTTCTCGAATGTAACCCATCAAAACCAGCACCAACTGTGCACAAGTACTGACCACGCATGGAACATTGTGATGATTTAAAGAATGAATGCATTGAGGATTACATGAGCGCTACATTTTTTTTCTCCCCTTACTACGAAGGATTTGTACTTGATGTAATCTGTTAATATGACTCCTGTAGTTACATAGATATGAGGTATTTTTTGAACTTTTATAGCACATACTGCAGGTTTCTTAAAAATAAAGAACATTTCCTTTGATTGGTTCATCATCAATCTCCAACTCTCACTAACTCACAAGAGACGACAGAGGCTAACCAAACTCCCTTGTCACAGCTCTTGTGATTCCCTCACGGTATCTGTGTATTTGCAGTGTCATTATTGAAGTGGAAGCATGTGTGTGGTGTGGCCTCAGATACATACACTCTGCAGGTACATTGTTAACCCCTGTGCACAACTACATATCCAGATTTAAGCTTACTATGATGAAGGCCTGCCTCGTGATGCTAACAGAAAGGTGCATATCCCATCTAGTCAAGGTTTTATATCTTTGATAAAAGGAGCCATTCACTGTGTTTTAGTAGTTTGGTGGTCAGTCATTTTGGATTGACAGGTCAGGTGCCTGCCAAATCAGCACCCTTGTTATTGGTTAGATTTGCATGCAGATATCGTATGAGCTGGACGCATGGTTCTGTTTCAAGTCATCGGTGAGAGCAGCTCAGAAAGGACATGCACCATTAGTCCCTGTCATAAGCCATCCATGTCCAGGTGCATTTTGAATCATGCAAGTTAAACGTCCGTTCATTTAGTTTGTATCACTGTTTTGAAATTCCAGTTTGAATCCACAGCCCTTACTGGAAAGCTTGAACCCCGGTCCATTTTTAACCCGCTCAAGAGAGAGAGAGGCTGGTTCTCCAGGTTCCTCATGCCAGGACTGACCTGGGGAAAACTGCTTTTAGTGTTAGTGCTGCAAACTCCTGGAACATTTTACAACAGGACCTGAATTTGAGCACTTTTATCCCTTAGGACACTTTAGAAATATTATTTTGAACTGCCCATTACCTGACTGTAACTGTTTTATTTGATTTTAATTACTGACTTATCACTGTAGTCATTTCAAGCTTTTAAATTATTTTAGTGTATATATCTTATTGTTCTTATTGCTCTTTTATTGAATTTATTTTCTGTAGTAGCTTAATCTCATTTCTTGTTGTTTATCATTTATGTAGGTTTTCTCGACATCATTGTAAATGAGGGTCGCTCCGAGAACTTAAATAAAGGTTGATGATGACATAAAGGCCTCGAGGTCTGTTAGCAGCACACTAATGCTCACAACAGTAATCACAGGAGAAGCTAGGTGTAATAGTTCTAAATTCTGCACAGGTCAGGATCATTAACGAGTTGTCTACAACGACTAATGTCTTCTATTTCTTATGTTGTCTTGTCAAATAGCTGACTTGATAATCATCAGTTTGCATGGTTAACTCATATGATCAATGGGTATGCTATTACCCTCTTCGTTAACATTACTACATCACTGCTTGTGTTCTGACCTTGTTTGTTTGTTATTGCTCTATCGTGGACCTACACACCTATTTGTTGGGATGCATCCCGAGAGTAACACCCTCCCAACAAACTTTCAACTCTTCACTGCAAAATCTTTGGATTATTTGGAGCGTAACGAAGAACACTGCTGATGAAGGTCTTGTAAGGAACTGTGTGTGTGTGTGTGCACGCAATGGAGAGGGGGCTTACAACACACCTTCCCAATCCTTCAAAGAACCATAATTACCAGCTGTTATAAAGTGCCTGCAAGTCTGACACTGTCGTTCTCACCAGTTGTCAAAACTAACAGAATTTTGTGGATGACTTATCCAGAGTATATGCGGCTTTAAAATATGCATATGTTGGGTATGGAGCTATTATTGTAGCAAAACTATTTGAATATGCGTACACAGATCCACAAATGCGTATACTACTCTGCAAATATGTAGACCAATTTCAAAATATTTACTCATTTATTAATGGCAGTGAACTTTTTCAGCTGTAAATCCTGAAAATACACACAAATGATCGCTTACAACTGAGGCGGGCCTCTCCATTGGCTGTCATTTCACGTGACTTTTGCAACACTCCTGCCGTGCAAGATCCACAAATGTGTGTGTGACGATCTGCAAACACATTAGTGGGGTCAGCCAGCAGTTGTCCTGCTCTCTCTCTCCCCACTTTTCCAATCCCTCTACTGTCTGCTACCCAATACAGGCAAAAGACCGTCACACTTATCTTAGATTCACAACTAATCTTTTCCATGTGTGAATGTACACTTCACTATCCCAATGTTAGCATGCTGTGATACATGGTTTATGACAGAGAGCACAAGAGAAGCAACCCTCTCTTTATCAGACAATAACACATGTGCATGTGAAAGTGATTTTGATATCAGAGAAATGATAAATAAATATGTTTTACATCAAACAATATGTCCACTTAACCCATAGTTACTCCTCTTTATGCATTGTAGTTTTCTTATTCCTTAATGATGTCAGAGAAATGGTGGGAAAGAGACTCTGTGACTTCTTTGCCTTTCTTCTCACTAATATTCAGCCTATAAACATAAACACACACTTTCCATAATTATAGGCTAACCCCTGCCACGATGTGGGTGTGTCTGAGAACCATTAGACTAAAAGCACAGTGTGCTGGAACCCACCTGACAATACAAGGGCCTCAAAAAATATCTTACTTCAGGACAATTTGAACCCTAGAATTACAAGTCTATATCACTTAAATGTATAATGACAATCTGCCTGAACAGGATAACCAAATTCTTTGCTTAGACAAACACACTTCTGCTGCTTTTAAACTCTTAGAAACGCACGCATTTACACATTTTTATCCATTTACTTTTTTCTACAGTGGGACATTCCTGACACTCTTTAAACAGATAATTTAGCATGTTAACTCTTCTAAACATCCAGTGCAGTAGCATACACACATCATAGTCATTTGTGTCACTTTACATTTTACAATTTTGAGTCTTTTAATACAAAGAGATGAAATGAGCATCTTTGCCTTAACGTGAACGTGATTTAGATGTAGACGACACTGCGTTCAAACAGACCCCTCTTCAAGCCAGTCTACTACCTAAAACATAACCCTTCAGATAAAGGCCATCTGTGTGCACTAGTGCATGTGATGTGTGTAGTTAAGATTAACAGTGTACTTTGCTTCCCTAGAAAGTCGGATTCTGCAGTGACTACATACAGCCATCTAGCTGCAGCTTTTTCCTACAGAGGGAAAAAAAACTGAGAAGGATGGCACATTTTTCTCATATTCTTTTCCATTTCTAAAATTCATGCAATATTAATGCCACAAACTTACAATGTTATATTTAAAATAAAATAAAAGATAACATCATCAGGACCTCTGTGGGTGCTGTGTTTATGCGTGTGAGCGAGGTGTCACAATCAGTGACTGGGAGAGGAGCCGAGGGATGCCACTGTGTCTTTAAGCTGTAATCCCTCCATTCTCTGAGCATTTGTTACCGACCATCTAATGGGCGGTTCAGTTTAATGTCCACAAGGGCCGCTGGGAGGTCTAACGCTATTAAAATCACTGCTGCTCTCTCTGGCTGTAGCCGGTCAGGCTCGCAAGGCTCTTAAATAACAACTGAGGTTGCCTCCAAAATTAAAGACGGTCTGATTTTAGCATTTCAAAAGGGAAGGAACTGGGCTCATCGCGGCAACAAAAGGGGATAACAACGTTGACATTCCCGACATGTATCCTTTGGTCTTTTCTAAAAGGGAAACCGGAGAGCTGCACACAAGAGATGCAGTGTGTGAGCAGGGATCGTTGCACAGCTTTACCAGTGTCCAGCTCCATCTCTGACATGCAAACAATGGCAGCAAAGCATTAGGGCTTATAAAACCATAAAATCAGATTGTTTAATAGTCTGGTCTGCAAAGCTTTTTTATAAATAACAATTGAAGACAATACTCTGAACCAAGATCCTCAAACAACAGCAATAAGGAACTCAACAGCCTCCATCAGTTACCACTGCCCCCTACCAACAGGAAATCACTGTAGCATCCCTTTAAATTCTGCTGAGACTCAACTGGACTATAGTGTGCACATAACCTCAAACATCACAAGGACATGCAATCTTACAGTATTAAAAAAATGTTTACTAGCCACTGTGGCCATCACTTGAAGTGATCTACAAGAGGGTGGCAAGGTGACTGTGTTATGGTGTTTTGTGCTCTAACATTCTCCAGTCTCCACAGAGTTGCAAAGTGCTGCTGCAATGATCAAGGAAGCAATTTTGCAATGTTAAGGCTGCCTGTCTTTGCAGAACAATCTGAACTCGAAAACAAAGAACAAAAAAAAAGGAGAAGTTGTTTTCATGCAAACAAAAAAGGCAGCCAGCCTCCAGAAGTTAGTCAAAAGTTTCTAAGGTGGGAAAAACTTCACATGGTAATTAGCAGTACCATCCAAACTTTCAGCCCTCCTTTGTGCATAAAGAAGCACTGATCTTGCAAAAAGATCAAATATCAGCTGTCAGCTTGTCATTTTTCCAATCCTGCGGAATTACAAGCCCCTCAGCCTGTTTTCTTCAACAAGAGGCTGCTATTCTTTGTCAACAAAAGCACTAGTTGGCACTCTGGTTTGAAAAAGTGAAGTGTGTGTTTCCAAAGCAATTGCCAGCGCTTAGAGAACGTGTTTTCAACAAGTTTGCACTGTGGTGAGCAAGTAGGCTAGTAGTAGTGCAGTTTGCACTTGGGGGGGGGGGGGGGGTGTCCATGCTTTTTTGGAGACAGGGAGATGGAGGGCAAAAGGAAAGAAATAGGGTATACTAGAGTGTGTGCTGTGTTGGGGGGCAGACTCAGTGAAAGCTTGTCTTACCGCTATAAGCGTGTTATTCCTCTGTTCCGTGGAGGAGGCAGAGTCCGGGTCCGGCTGCTTGCTCAGCGGCTGCTTGCTGCTGCCACTGCCGCCGGTAGACTTCTTGGCCCTTTGCTCCAGACTCCGCTGGTACAGGCTGACCGTCTCCCTCCGCTCGATCTCCAGCTGCTCTGCGTGGGCTTGCTGGTACCTGTTCTCGCAGTTGACGTGGTGTCTCCTGCAGCCCTCTATCCGCTGCCTCAGCCTCTCCACCACCGTGCTGTGCTTAGGTATGCCCACCACTGCCCCGCCGGGCACCACGCTCCCACCGGCCGGGTTCATGCTGTTGTTGATGCAGATACTGCCGTTGGGTCCGGCAGCGGGGGAGGCGAAGTCCCCCATCACTGGGCCGAGAGGCTGCTATTTTGGAAGAACTTTTCTCCCCCCGTCAGCTCGCCGCCACCGCCGGCCACCACCACCTCCGGCCGCCTCCTCCTCCACCTCCACCACTCTCCGTCTCTGTCCTCCCCGGGTTTAGGGGGTCCGAAGCGGGCTGGGCAGGTGACGGTGGGTCAACCCGACGACTGCAGCTTAAGTGAGCACTCACCGGGGAAGATTTAAAGGGCTGCACGCCAGGCGGTCATACGGTTTAAGGGGCTGGCGAGTGACCGTTTCTTCTTCCCTGTTTTCAAACAAACCGATAACACTAGTAACACACAGCCTGCGAGAGACGAGAGCAAGCCTCAATTCAACAATACCGCCGCGTCCACGCTGCTAACAGAAACTGGAAAATATCAACAATACCGTGAAGGTCTGACCGTAAGCAGGCTCTCTCCGGTCATACACACACACACCGTCCCGCGGAGCAGCAGCAACAGTCCACTCGCCGTTTCGCAGCGTTGTCCTTTGAGAAAAAGTTTTGCTGCCTGAACCGAACAGGCTCCGGAGTTTCCCAGTGAACTTGCATCTCATATGGTTTTGGTTTAAAAAAAGAAATCCCGGTTAAATGTGTTGCCGAGTTGGGTTAAAGACCACCAAAGCGCCCTCGGTAGTCCGGTTGTGAGGCAACGAGAGTCGCCTAGACGGCGCAAAACGCGGATATTGGAAGCAGTGGCGGAAGTCTGTAGTCACTGGCTGCCGTCTGCCACCATCACAATAATCAGGTCCGCTTCTCCACCATGCCAGCGGAGTGATATCAGGACAGGAGTTGAGTAAAAACCAGCTAAAGGCTGTGAGGAGCCCGCTGATGGCGCATCAGAAAACCCGGAGTGGAATCCGGGGTATCCCGGAGAGGACCCGGATGCTCTCACTTACAAATTTAATATCCCAGTCGCAGCATATTAACACCCCTGGACAAACACAGTTATGGTGGGAAAAAAATGGTGTGATAGCGTATATTGGCTAGCTAGAAAGCAAATGATTAATTTATTAGCCGATTTAAACGTTTCTTACAGGGGAATGATTTAACATAGTGGAAACTTTTTAATACAATTTAGGCTAGTTGTGAAAACGTACAGAAATGCCTGCACGTAGCCTAATAGGCTAATATTCATATTTAGACCCATTAGGCGGTTTAGAAAAGCAAAGGAAAACCAAAAGGTCAGCGACCACAGCAAAAACAGGAAGTAGCCTACATGAAAAAAAAAACCACAAGCCCAGTAATAGGCCTATTAGATACAAATGAAAAGTCATCAGCAGGTACATTTATTAAAATGTGGAGTGTTAACCACATCTGTGTCATGTGTGTAGCTCTTTAAAAATGTTCATGAAATGCATAATCCCATCATGTTTTAGTGTGACAGTGACATAAACTGGACTGCATCTACAGAAAAATCAGGCACATCAGCTCCTTCTTATTTTTTTTAACATACTTGCTCAGAATTTAGACATTTGAAAAACTTTTGAAATAACTGTTGCAAAAAAAGGGTTAGGGTTACTGGGATAAGGTTTCAGACTTCTCTATGTGTATATCATGATGCTTTTTATCTGGCTAATAAATCAGTTCTTACATATTTAAGCCAGAACTGATAACACTGACATAAAAATAATAATCTTCCTATGATGTAAGCTTCTTTTAGCCTGATCGTGAGCTGCATTGTGGGGTATTGGGGGTAAGGGATATAAATCATGAAGTTTTCTTTGCACAATACTGAAAAATGTGCAGTGTAAGTTAGAATCAAAGATCTGAACACAGGATTGAGCATATCCATTAAGTTTAAACTTCACTGTTTCCTTTACAATAGTTTACCATACTTCATCTTATGTTAACAAAAAAATGGATAAAGATATAGTAAAAGTAAAAATGATTGATTAAAATTTTGATGAAATGACATCATGCAGCTAAATCTCTGAAAAGTGAGAAGCACAGGAGCATGAACAACAGCAAATAACTGTTTTGGAGTGTTTTTTTCCCCAAAGAATCTAAAACAGACTAAAGTAAAACAAATAGTTGGATGTAGTTTTCTGTAAATCCTCATGAGTTTTCTATTAGCACTATACTGATCAAATGCCCAACAGTCAGCAAAGTTTTAGTTCCATTAGATGAAGAGAGCAGTGGGGATTTTTGATTCACTAATACTTTTGAATTTATTCCTTTCATAATGAAGAGTGAGAAACTGGAAAGGAAATCAAAGATAACACTTTTTTTTCTAAGGTACTGCTCTGCCTGTATTATGTCATCCATGTGATTAACACCTCTCCATCATCAGGACTTTATATTACTAACAATATTATAAATGATCTTAAGAGCAGTAAACACATGACTGATGACTGTTTGTAATATAAAGTCATGTTATGAATTACAGGAATTCATAAATTGTCCTCCTCTTTACCCCGCTCTCTCCTCTCCTCTTGCTCTCTCTCTCCCTCTCTCTCTCTATCTCCTCTCGCTCCCTCTCTCTCTCTCCCTCTCGCTCTGTCTCTCTCTTTTTCTCTCCCTCTCTCTCTCTCCTCTCGCTCCCTCTCTCTCCCTCTCTCTCTCTCTGTCTCTCTTTCTCTCTCCCTCTCTCTCTCTCCTCTCACTCCCTCTCTCCCTCTCTCTCTCTCTCTCTCTCTCTTTCTCTCTCCCTCTCTCTCTCTCTCTCTCTCTCTCTTTCTCTCTCCCTCTCTCTCTCTCTCTCTCTCTCTCTTTCTCTCTCCCTCTCTCTCTCCTCTCGCTCCCTCTCTCTCTCTCTTTCTCTCTCCCTCTCTCTCTCTCTCCTCTCGCTCCCTCTCTCTCTCTCTTTCTCTCTCTCTCCCTTACCCGTTTTTATTTTTATCTGCAGAGTCATGTGGGAGTTCCATCCCCGACTGTTCAGGCCATATGTGCTCCCTTGTCTTTTTCTAACTCTCCATGCAGACACACAAAGACACACACACACACACACACACACACACACACACACACACACACACACACACACACACGAACAATTACATGCTGTTAGTCCCCCCATAAATTACTATAGATCAACAGAGACATGCATCTGCACAGTCACACACATACAGTTTTAAAACTATAGGCAATCAGAACATGGGTAGCATGTTTTGTTCTTCTGTTTCAGTGTTTAAAGTTATTTAATGAAATGAGTGTTACTTTAGTATCAGTCATTTCAATATTATGTGACCAGTTCTAACTTTTCCCTCATAGATAAACCACGGCAGTAGCTCGGGTTGGGTTGGGTGCCAATTTCAGTACCAGTACAGATCAAAGAATGGAAATTGATCTGGTTGCTGTAGAGAGTTACCAGTTCACATAGTCAGAGTACTAGTATCAGTTTCTATGCTTCTTATATCTGGAACAAACTCCCAGAAAACTGCAGGTCTGCTGAAACTCTCAGCTCTTTTAAATCCAGGTTGAAGAAACACCTGTTTACAGCTGCCTTTCATTAAACAATTAAACAATTAATAGATTTTAAACTTTAACTCTTTTTATATTTGTACTTTATTTATTTCAACTAATTCTAATCCAGTTGTTCTATTTAAAAGATATAGATACTGTGATCTGACTCACAACAATAAGAAAAAGAGCTTATTGAAAATTTAGCAAGAACCTTAGAAAGCATTTAGTCATTTGTGTAACATTGCGGATTCCTGCATACTCACAAGTAACTAGGTTTTGTTTGTGATTCCATCACATGGGGCAATATCTCATCAGTGGATCTATTTGTTTCTAAGAATCCTGTTTCAGCTGGTGTAAAAGAGCCAAAGGTGAAATATTTCAGTGTAACTCATAGAACCTGCCTTAATGACTGACTTTTGGTTAGAAAAGTACAAAAAAATAATTTCCTAATCGTTTATTGACAAAGATAAAAGGTATTTTATGGGGCTGTCATGAAAGGTGGATTCTTTTGTCTAAACATTTGTAATATTATTTTTTTGCTGCATTTTATTTTTCTAATCAAATTTTTCTCTTTAGACTGATGACACAGCATTTGAATATTTTGACATTATTTCCACATTTTAAACACCTTCACTCTGAATTGATATACAGTTTGAAATGACATAAAAAAAATACAGTAGATCGAACACACCTGTAGACCAACAATAAACCAACAATGGTGTTCGCCATATGCTACATTTTGGTTTTTAAATGTGTAGATTTTAGGTGAAATGTTAACTGATCTCCTTTCTACCTGAGGTGTTTTTTTTCATAAAGTTGTAAATCTCTCATGCTGATCTGAGTTGTTCAGCATTTTGGGGCGAAAACGCTGCATTTGTTGTTCCACATTATTCTGGCCCCATTACTTGACATCTTCCAGTGAAATATCTTCTCACACAAAGGACAACAACAGCAGATTTTTTATTCAACAGAGGAGGAACAAAAATGCTACCAGCAACAGTCAAAGCTAAATGGACAAAAAGCAAAACAACATCAAAAACAATCTTTCCCAGAGAATCACAGCAAAAAAGAAATGAATGAGTATAAAGAAGACAAATAGTAAATACACTGTTAGATGATTACCCAGTAAACTTTTTCCAATGTAAAACCTCATTAGCAAAATTATTTATCACCAAAATGTAAGGAGTGGAGCTGCACACTTCTTTTGATGATGACATGACAATGGCATGAAAAGAATAACAGTGGCAGAAGCAAATTATTACCACAATGTTTCTGACTATTTCATCATCCCCCATCTGCCAGACCTGAAGCCATGAGGATTTTCTTGGAACATCTTGGCTTTCTCTTTTCTTTGTAGATAGAGGAAAGGCTTTGGTTCACTTGTTGTTGTTCTGGGTTGAGCAAGAAGATGTCTGCACTGACTCTGGGCAATGAAACGGCTTAAATAACTTCCTTATGCTTCTTTGTATACGCTAATGAAAGAACTTGTCTGAGACGGTATAAACCACAGAATTCAAATAAACAATTGATGAAAATGGTTTTGTTTGTGTCAGTTACAAACCGAGTGTATTTAGTTAGGGGGCGGCTGTGGATCAGTAGTAGATTTGGTTTTCTCTCAATCAGAAGGTCAGAGGTTTGATGTCTGATGTGTCCTTGGGCAAGAGACTTAACCCCAAGTTACTCCTGCTGCTTCTCCGGTGGTGTATGAATGGATGAGTTAATACTGATGGACACTTTACATAGCATCCTCTGCCATCAGTGTGTGTATGGAATTGAATGTGTAGGTGTGACCTGCACTGTAAAAGTGATTTGAGTAGTCAGAACACTAGAAAAATCCATTACCAGTTGTGAGGCCACAATTAGGACACAATCTGCAAATTCACATTATGTAAAAAAAGGACATGAAATGTCAGCATCCATTTGTGTGGTAGCTCTGAAAAAATTCCCATGAAATCAAGATAGATGCTATGTAAAAATAAAAACATATATACATGTATCACAGAGGAAGAAGGGAAGGAGGCTTACTAAAGTGACTCAACAACAGTCTGTGTCAAAATGTAGGGTCCTGACAGGATTCAACAACTAACACATCTATGAGCAAGCTAGAGGTAATCACTGTGTGCCCAGTTAAATGTTTTAACAATCAGCACTATTGACTATTGTAAACAGCATCAATATCTACAGAAAGTCCCTTTAATATCTTAATAACTAGTCTTTCTTATCATGTGATTTTTTTGATCCAGCAGATGTCGCCCTTGAGCACCTGCATGAAACCAAAACAACTCACGCTGCATTGTTGTGTTAGCATGCTAATGCTAGCGATATTTATTATGCTGGTATCTTCACACTGCATGTAAATTTACCTGAAATGAGCGTGATCTAGAAACAC